GCTATGTCTGTCTGCCGTCCGACCATCTTTCTGTCTGTCTGGGTTCTTCTCTGAAACCACATATACATGTATAGTTAGTGGTTGGGGGGTTACTAAGTAATTGATCACCGCATTGTTTATTTCTAACGGTTGCAGTGTTTGTTTATGTTTACAGATGCCCCTGTTATCTCCAACTAGCCCAGATAGTCCACACAGTCCGAATGTTAAATTACAAGTATGTCTGCAATGCATGTTATTGCAGTTGTCTTGCAGCCCCTTTCCTACTGCCACACTCAATTATTCTCTGTCATCAAATAACATAGTATAAATACATAGTATGGTAGTTTAGTATTTGGAAGCCTACTCATAAATAAAAAAAATACCAAGAATTTATCTATAAATTTCACTTTCCAGGCAATATGTGAATGTCAACTGTCAGAAAGTCTATTTTTCAAAAAAATGATGGTTTATAAATAACGCCATTATACTATTTTTACCATTGGCTTCTATAGTGGGAATATTCTTTATTGCAGATTGTAGGTCTGTTTTAGGTCTAATGGGGGTACTTTTTGAGATCTTGAATTGTTTAAAAAATTATGGTTTTAAAATCTGCTAACATTTTAATATGCTTTTTGAAAAATGAACTGAACAATAACAAGTCTTGAATAATATTTATATGAATTTTTAGTAACTGTAACACATAACAGAATGTTATTTGATGTTACCATGGAACTCCACGATTGTACATAATAAACATTGTCTTGCGATTTATGACCAACTTTCTGAAAAACTATGAGTAGGCTTCTACCTTAAGTACTGTGGAATGTTTAAAACCATTACAATTCACAGTTTTAAAATCTGCTAACATTTTAATATGCTTTTTGAAAAATGAACTGAACAATAACAAGTCTTGAATAATATTTATATGAATTTTTAGTAACTGTAACACATAACAGAATGTTATTTCATGTTACCATGGAACTCCACGATTGTACATAATAAACATTGTCTTGCGATTTATGACCAACTTTCTGAAAAACTATGAGTAGGCTTCTACCTTAACTACTGTGGAATGTTTAAAACCATTACAATTCACAGTTTGGAAGCCACGACTGGATAAATGTCTGACAGAGAACTGATTGAAATCAGCTGTCGATGAACTAACTAAAAAGCAACAAGATAAAATGTAAATTTCACAACTGTGTTTTATTTTGTTGTTTGAATCAATGACAATAATGTGTTTGTTTGAATCTAGCGTCATGTGGTATTCTTTGCTTTGTACATGTATATGATTATTGTCAACTGGTGTAACATTTCACGCATAAATGAATTACACTCAAAGTAATGTGTTTTCTTTTGATTATTAAGTCTTGCGACGTAAAATTCTGTTTTCATGATCAAATGGAGAAAATTATATTGAAATATTGCGTGGTTTTTACTGCCACTGTTTGTAAATATTCTTGCAGTTGGCAATAATACATGAATAGATCACTGAAACTTTATTTGTGTTTGTTTATTTCTTAGCTTGATTATCAATGTTGTTAACAAATAAACAGCCAATAACACTACAATCCATTTATATGCCACGTTTTTGTGTTATAACAAATATTTTATTAACATGGCCAAGTTAGATGCCAAAATGTTTGCATGTTTGCATTTTGAATTAAAATGTGGCAGTCGTCGCGCTGCGCATGTGTGACATTTGTGTTGATAAACATTGATTTTTCCACAATCCAATGTACTCTTCTAATGGGAATCTGAAGTATGAGTTTTGACCTGCGTGCGACTTGATCTAATTACCGCCGGTTACCTTTTCAATCACCTAAAAAATACTCAATTAAAGCTTTGGTACATCTCAGTTCGTACTCGTTGATCTGAGCAACAGTCAAAGTCGCCATCTTTGTTTATATGAGACCCATATATCTTGTGAATGCGTGGCGCGATGACTACCGCCTTTTATTTTACAAAGTTGTACTTTTGAGGAGTTGACTGGAGAAGGCACATAAACTGTCCTTTTCACCAAACTCCTTAAGATACAAGTGACGCTACAAATGCATGTGATTACTAACCGTCTGTGTTTCTCCTAAGAATATATAGTATTTTATTTAAGGAAGCAACTTGTGTTACTAATGTTAACTATTCTACTGCAGAATGTGCATGAATTATGCTAATGGTTTTTTTTTATGCTTTATTTTGTACTATTAAAATTGGGATCTTGTTTTCCTTCAGAGATTGGAATCAAAGCCCAAATCAGAGAAATCTGCTAGCCTTCCTGGACAGTACAATGGAGGTGGAACAAACAGACCAGTGTCAACGGGCAGTGCAGTTTTGTCACCATGGCATGTTACGTCAGCACCAGAAGAGAACAATGATAAAAAGAGACTCATGACCACAGAGCTCTGAAGACTGTCGCTTAGCTGTTATGGACCTTATTTGGAATGCTATTTGATATTGTCTGGGATGCTAATTGAGATTATCATGGATGCTAATTGAGATTATCTTGGATGCTAATTGAGATTATCTTAGATGCTAATTGAGA